GCATCGGTCATGCAGAGGAGCTTGGACTTGGCGTACTCGCGCTCCAAGGTGTTGAAATCCTCAGTGGGGTGCTGGAACTCCATCAAGAGAGCACGGACATACTCTCCAGCTTCACATCCAGTGAGGAATCCGTTGGATTCGGCTGCCAAGGTGCTTCGGCACACACGCTTGATGGACCCGCTGTAGGTCTCAAGCACAAACAAGGGAGTGGGGCCACCTTCACGAATCTCTGGCAGGGCGATGGTCACCACATAGCCGCACTGGCTCTTGAGACCCTCGGTGTTGGCGAAGCTGGAATCTGCAAAAACGCAGACCAGCGCATCATTCAACTTCAGCTTCGGGTGCGCCACAAAGCGCCATGTTGCCTCAGAGGTCTCCTTGAGCATCTTGACCGTCTTGTTGAGGTTCACCACATCACGGATCTTTGGAGATCCCATCGACTGTGCGGCCATCGACACATTGACCATGACGTCAGGCCTGGTCTGACGTGCCACCCAGCCAAGTTGCCCGATCAGTCCTCGGAAGGAGGTGATCTCCTCTGGTGTCAAGGGGGCATTCACCATCGACCTGCGGTGGCGGTCAAGTGGCATGTAGTCCACACTCTCAATGGCGTCGAACTGGTCAACCTCGATGGTGTGGTCATCACCTTGACGGAGGTTCTTTCCACAAAAACGGAAGGCCTTGTGCTGGACCTTTAGGTGGATCTCTTTCTCCATGGAGGCAATGCTCTGCTCATAGACAGCGCCAACACCGGCGCAAAGCAAATCATCAACATGGGTGCAGAGGACTCCCTGGAGATTGCCATCAACGACCAGCAAAAACAAAGCTGCTTCCAGTTTTGACATTCTCCATCCATGTGACTTCAAAGTTCTGAACAGCTTGCGCCACCATGATCGGCCAGCGTCCTTGGTGCCGTAGATGGAGCCAAGTGCACGGAAAAGATCGTGAGGGCTGACTCCTGGCGGTGGAGGGCGAGGAGGCTTCAACAACAGCAGGCGACTGATCCCCTGCGATTGCAAGTGTGCAGTTGAGGCATCACATGCCGAGATCACCCATTGGTTCATCACTGCGATGGCGCAGATGAGGTTGAAGGACAGTATAAGGAAGCCGTAGGGCTGTCTGACCTGATTCCGGTGGGATTCTCTTGGCATCCCTGCACCACAAGCCTGCTCTTGGCTTGGAAGGGGAACTCCTTCTTGATCTGGGCATCAGACTTGCCGGTCTTCTTCTGCATGGCCTTCGCGAGAAGGCGTGGTTTGCTGTTCTTGTCAACGTGGACCCATCGAGTGCCGATGATCTGAGCATCTTCAGGGAGGTTCTCGATCTGGTCACGGGTCAGGATCTCCACAGCGCCAAACTTGGTCCAGGAATCCCATTCCTTCTGCATAGAGGCCTGGAACTTTTGGCGATCTTCTTCGTTGAGGTTCTTGAAGGAGATCTCAGTAGATGCGGCCTTTCCAGTGAGAAAGCAGTCTGCTGGAGATTCCACGACCGGGAAGGTGTCGTTTTCCTCCTCCGATGACAGTTCAGCACCATACTCCTTCAAGATGTTGATCTGCTCATCATTCAGGTGTCGTAGTTGATGAAGTCGGATCGTGTAGGGCAGATCTGGACAGTTCCATGGAACTTCATCGGTGAAGTATGGACCTGGTGCCGGCTGGTACTCTGTCCGGACTGGACGGTACTGGCGCGAATCTAGCCGGTCTGGGTTTCGTAGAGCATCTTGTAGACGAGTTGAAGGTGCCGGCATTTCGGCTGCTTGTGGGAGAATTTCACTTGGCCGTCTTGAAACCTCTTGTGATGGAGGCGTGGACGGAGTTGGTGTCGACATTGGTAGTGGAGCTGGTTCAGGTTCAGCTGCGTCTCGTGGTGCCTGGTTCACGGCATCAAGTGCGCTCTGCAGCGTTGGAAGTGGCTGCTGTAGCATTGGTACTTGAGGATCTGATGGCACTTGTTCCGGTTGTTGACCAGGGACATTTGCTGCAGGGGCAGGTCGGCTGGCTGATGATGCGCCGCCACTGCCTTCTGGACTGAACTGCAATGCGGGTGCTTGATCTTGAAGAGGTACTGCAGCATGCCCTCTGAGGTCAGTGTAGTTTCGTGCTCCACGAACGGCAGCAGGGTGCATGATCTCTTCTGGAAGGAGATGTGCAGCAAGTAGTTCATCTTCACTTGCGAACCTCAGCTGTTCTCCAGTCACCAGTACCACGAAGGGGCCATAGCGAAGCCAGTATGCATGAGGTTGGCCGCCTTCAGTGAGAGGTTCTGGATCTTCAGCTCTCCTTTGATTTCTAGCTTCAATGCCGATCACACGAGCGGGGCCAAACCATCTGTAGTTTCGAGCGTGCCCTCGAGATTGGTGAGCTGCTGATCCTTGTGCACGGTAGAAGTAGACATAGCTCCCAATCGGATATGGGCCTCTTGTAGGCGTGGACTGATGTAGTAGGGCTCGTCGAACACGGGAGTCGTTGTCCAAACGGATCTGGGCCACGCGAGCGCTCTCTCGAATGCCAAGTGATCGGGCAAAGGCAGAAGTTGGGTCATTGGCTGCCTCGAGCAGTTCAAGCCTCTGTGCTTCATCTTCTTGTATAGTAGTGATCCGGGGATTCGGATCTCAGAGACTCCAAGGACCCATTGTGCAGGCGAGAAGCCATTGGATCGAGGAAGGGAGTTTCGAACTTGAGTGACAATCGTCGTGGCTGTGATCACGTCCTCAAGCCCTTGAAGCTGCATCTCGTGCACAGTCTTGAAGAAAACTTCCTTCCGTAGAGCGTTCTGCCAAGGTGCCTCAAGAGGAACGGTACTCCTTGAGGTAGTCACTGAACTGGTGGTAGTCGTCGGGGTTCATGCCGTGGTAGTCATGGACCATGTCGGAGTCATTGGCCTCAGCGAACTCGGACTGAGTGGGAGGGTTGTAGTCGATCTCCTGTACTGTGAGCGTCTCCTCTGGCTCGGTTGCATGTTCTGGGGAACAATCTTGAAGAGAGTCCATGTCAAAGTCCAGGAGGCTCACTGCCAAATGACCACGCGAGGTCTTGACCAGTGGGAGGTCAGTGACACCAATCTTGTTGAAACTCACGGTGCGTGCGCCAATGTTGATCACGGTCTGCAGCTCCTCCATGAAGGGTCGTGATAGTAGAAGAGGAAGGCTGCCTGGAGCTTCAGCGCTGTGCAGCTCACCATTGACCTTGTTGATGCCGACCGGAAAGATCTTGACAGTGTCACTTGCGATTTGGCCTCCAACACCCTTGAACGACTGCTTCTTGAGGCGTCTGCGTGGTGACAAGTTGAGCTTCTCGAGCTCTTCTTCGAACGCTTTTGCCCAATCGGTGCCATGCATGGTTCGGGTACATCCTGAGTCTAGGATGGCAAGTCCAGGTGGATCCTGGGAGCTCGTGGTGTAGGTTGTCTCAAGATCAAGTCGTTCATGATCGCTGATGTCCTGGTTGACCATGAGCACCTCAAAGTCATGAGGTTGTACCATCTCGGAGATGACTCGGGATGCCCTTCATGCATGCAGATCGGAACTCGGATGCACCTGTGGGCCACCATGTCGTCGGGATCAGTGGTCCTCTTCAAGGGAGAAGTGATGCCAGCCTTCCATGTCCTCATAGCACATCCATGTAGGAGACGGACACGCCCAAACAGGTAGAAGGCGAAGCGGTAGGTCTCCGCGAACATGATTCTCAAGGTCTGATGGCAGTACACTGACGCCTCAACGGAGGAAGCGATCTGAATGTAGGTGTATCCTTCATATGGAGTTCCGGGACCAAAGATTGCAGCGTCACTCGGAAGGGGTTGCAGCACATCATAGTCGTCCTCTGCCAAGGGCGGAAACGCAGGGAGATCTATGGTGAGATCTGCACTCCATAGGCCCAAAAAACGAGGCTCTTGCTGTGCATCAGGTCGGATGATTCTTGCCGTTGACGGTGAGGAAGGTGATGAAGTCTCCTTTGACCTGCGGCTGGCAGGTGTTGTCGGTGCGCGAGGATAGCCGCGGGGAGGCTGTAGAGCTCGTCGATCTTCATCATCCTTTAGGGCTTGATCACGTACCCGACAGACACTTGCAAAGAGCTCACGAGATCGAGCTGCTGATCCCCATCTGGTGCACAGAGCAATCTGCACCAGGTAGCACCATAGCTGAGCGGCGTCCTTCCTCTTGGCGACGATGATGGTCTGGTTGCAATCCTTGTCCTTGCAGGTCACGTGACGGGTGTGACCGTTGGCTCCTCGATGGAATTCACGTTCATTTCCACCAAAATAGGAGCTGTGCTCGCAAAGCTGGGTGTCTTTCAGCACCATCAGCACTTCATGCGCTGGAGGAGAAATGTAGGTGAAACATGCTCCAGGTGCAAGCCCATCGTCCTTGTAGATGCGCTCGATGGTGTTCTTGTCCTGGATGTGGTTGCCAGAACCAGTAGGAGCAAATGCTGGTTCATGCTTGTCATTGGGCTCATCCAAAAAGATGCCTGGCGCATACTTGGGAGTCTTCTCGTCCGCAGGGACTTGCTCATACTCGGAGGAGTTGAGGTTCTTTGGCATCTGGTCATACTTGGAGACTGAGGCATTCGATGAGACCTCATGCTCGACAGGGGCTTTGTGGTACTCTGAGGCCACGTCATTCTCAGTGGATGCAAGGCCAGTGAAAGTCGCATTGATGTCCTTCTCATCGTCGGACTCCAAGCCCTCGTGCAAGACAAAGAAGGTGGTCTTGCCGTCGGACTTCTTCTTGTGAGGTGACGGACCGGTCTTGGGCATCTTCTTCTTGCGGGTGTTTGGACATGCATCATCTCCAACCCAATGACCTTTCTGTCCCCAGCTGGTGCAAGCAGTGACTGACTTCAAAAACTTCACCGCTGTGTTTCGATTCTCCTTGGCCTTGGCGTCAAAGGAGATGTCACCTGATGCCTTGAATGGCAGGGATTGCGACGATGGCGAAGAGGAATGCTTCCCTTTCGACTTTCCCTTGCCCTTGCCCTTCTTGAACTGCATGACGGTGGCAAGAGCTTCAGCTACCTCTTCATTGCCCTCGAGGGCGGGCAGATCTTGGACCAAGGTGTCCCGTGTCTCATCCTCCCAAAAGGCCTCTGCTCCATCGTGGGCCGGGGACTCATACTCATCCTCGTCCTCTAGGAAGATCTCGTCGTCATACTCATTCATGTCATCATCGAAGGCCTCATAGGCTTCTTCCGTGGCGAGGATCTGCTGGGGTCGTCCACGACCTTTCCCTGGCTTGTAGCCCTTCCGGAAGAGGATTCCTGAGTCACGAGCAGCAGGGCTGCGACCGCAGCCGAGGAAATCACGTCGGTGAACCGGCTTGCCATTGGCCTGTGGGAACTGAATCCTCATGGCATTGGCGATCTTGTCGAAGTCGTACTCGTTGTTCACCGAGCTCAAAACTGAAACCTGCTCTTGCTGACTCAGGCCACCGAAGAGCAGCAGCATCATCGCCCTCAAGCTGCGAGGAACAGAAGTGCCACCTCCAGCTTCTTCAAGTCGTCGAAAATCCTGTTCTCGGCGGATGATGTACTGCTGCGTGGACTCTTGAGGTCTTCTCCAAACCTGTGGGCTGTAGAAGGCGGTGAGGAAGAGTTCATTGATGCGGACGGGCTTCACTGCTGCAATTGCCGTCCTCAAGGCATCAAGAAAAGCCTT